TTTTTTTTTTTTTTTTTAAGAAACTGAAAAATTGGCTATTAGTTTTCAAAATAAGTTGATATTGGCTGTTTTTTTTTTTCTCCTCTGTCCCCTTTGTGGGGAAAAATTCACTTGAGTTGTGACATCACAGGTGTCCAGGGAAATGTCTTAGTTATTTGTACCAGTCAGTGAAGGAGTAAAGTTGAAAGATGATACTCTTTGAATAAAACAAGAAAATAGACAAATATGTAAGTTGAAGAATAGCGTTGTAGTATTTATTTTTTTATCAACAGTGTTATACTTGAATTATGGACCCTATAGTTCTTACGCACCACATTATGACTCCACATTTGCAAATATCAGCAAGGACGATTCTGATTTAATCTACTCAACCTATGGGGAAGACTCAGATCTTCCAAGCGATTTCAGGTGAGTTACTAGTTAATCAATATTCTGAGTACCACATTTTTCTAAAATAACAATGTATATATGTGATTTGTGGATAGACTTACAAAGTTATCCAAGTGATAGAAGGTGCATTCAGTTATTTTTTTTCCTCTCGAGACTGACAGGCATTAAATAGATCCATAGTCGTCACAGTGGAAACGGAGTATTTTAAAGTGAGAACATATCTCCCTAATATTTTCTGATGTTGACATCTGTAGTATTTTAATTCTTACAAAAATATTTTTTTAAGGATGCTGCATAGTTCCATTGATACTAATGTTCAGAAACTTGTGATTTCAAAATGTTGATGTGTCATCTGATCTACTATAACATTTCTGGTTCAGTGAGTTGTGTTCCCAAACTTGATCACTTTTTTCCTTTGTTTTTAATTGCCTTAGTTTATTGAACTGCATTTCTTGAAACAGATACTATTCTTGGACTCAATCACTTGGGGCTGAGCTTTATTAGGGTTAAATCAAAAACCTGTTGCTGTTGAGTTGATTTCAACTCATAGCGTCCCTATAGGACAGAGTAGAGATGCATCATAGGGTTTCCAGGGAGCAGCTGGTGGATTCCAACTGCCAACCTTTTGGTTAGCAGCCGAGCTCTTAACCACGGCACCACCAGTGCTCTTTATTAGAGTTACACCCTCATTAATGAAGACTTGGGCACGTGGCTCTTGAGCCTCTCACACCCCGGTGTCTTGGTTCCCTGACCTCCTCGCCACCCAGTGCCATGGTCACACCCTGGACATTGTCGTCACCTGAAACTCTTGCACCTGAAATGACAAGTCAGACGTCCCACTCTGTGATGACAGCCTCTTCCCTCTGTGCCTTACTCAGCCACCATCACCACACTTCTCCCTGACCCCACTGGGACTTCCAGCCCCTCGGTCCCAATTCTTCTACCACACGTCTTTCCCCTTTTCTTTTGGTAGCGGAACCTACTTTTTCCTTTTGGGAAAACTAATTTTTTTTTTTTTATTGTTTAAATGAAGTTTACATTTCAAGTTAGTCTCCCATATAAAAATTTATCCATACATTGTTATGTGACCTTAATTGCTCTCCCCTTGCTGTGACAGCACACTTCTCCTTTCTACCCCAATTCCCCATGTCCATTCAACCAGCTCCTAACTCTCTCTGCTGTCCCATCTCATCTTCAGATAGAAGCTGCCTGTTTAGTCTCTTGTATCTACTTGAGCTAAGAGGCACACTCCTCACGAGTATCGCTTTATGTCCCACAGTCCAGTCCAGTCCCTGTCTGAAGAGTTGGCTTTGGAAATTGTTTTAGTTCTGGGCTGATAGGGAATCCAGGGGCCATGGTTTCCGGGGTTCCTCCAGTCTCAGTCAGACCATTCAGTATGGTGTTCTTACTAGAATTTGAGTTCTGCACCCCACCTTTCTCCTGCTCCATCAGGGACTCTGTTATGTTCCCTGTCAGGGCGGTCATTGGTGGTAGCAGAGCACCATCTAGTTCTTGTGGTCTCAGGCTGATGAAGTCTCTGGTTTATGTGGCCCTTTCTGTCTCAACTTGATGACTTTTGATATGAACTAGGACGTGGTGGGTGACTCGATTTTTAAGGCAACTCACATATAAGCTTGTTTGGCTCATTACATAATAGATAGACTGTTGCACTCACATACAACCATCCCTTACTACATGTTAGTGGGGGAACATTCTTTCTGTGTTCCAGTTCAGAATGCTGGGGACACTTTGCATCCCATCAACAAAATGAGATATCAGCCTGATTTTCTCAGGCTTCCGGCTCAGAGTGGGACAGTGAGCTTGGGTGATTCCTTCTTGGCACTGCACTGGTAGTTTGTCAACTTCCATTATGTGCAAGAGAGAATTTTACTCTCTAGATTAATCATTCCCTGGTTTTCTGACAAAGGGGAAATCTGGTAACTTTTGTATATATGTAGTCTTTTGTCTTGATTAGATTAGAACCAGGCAGGGGTGCCTAAGTCAGAAATTGAGTGTGGTTGAAGATCAAGCTATTTATTTCCTTTAGACCTCTTCTCACCAGTGTGAACAAATTAATTCCAGAGTATTTGTCCGTGAGTTCCACAAATAGGCATTGCGTACCCACACGTGCAGGCGTTCTTCTAGACGCTGGGGGTTCCGCAAAGGAGCAACACTGACAAAGACCTCGTGTGCTCCTGTGAGATGGTAATAGATGCTTTGGAGAAAGGTAAAGCAGCAAAGGAAGATAGGGGTGCCATGATTGGGAGAGGGGTGCAATTTTAAATAGGGTAGTCAGGGTTAAGGAGGGTAGTCAGGGTTAAGGAGGGTAGCCAGGGAAAGCTCGGGCAAGAAGGTGAAAAGTTGAGCAAAAACTGAAGGAGGCGAGGAAAAAAGCAATGCAGAAGCCCTGAGGCGGGAGCCTGCCTGACACTTCCGAGCAAGGAGATGGATCTGTGAGGAGGAGAGCAAGTGAAGGTGAAAATGACAGAGAAGTCAGGTGGGGTAGATGGTTGTGAGGACTTGGCATTTTGGTCTAAGTGAGACGGGAAGCTACTGGTGGATTTTGAACAGAGTAGTGAACCATTCTGGCTTATAATTTAAAAAGAATCATCCTGGCTGTTGTGTGGAGATGAAAGATGATGGTGGCGGGGGCCACAGGAATAGCTCTAGAGGTTTTGAGAAGCCAATAGAGCCAGTAGGATTTCTTCATTGAGTGAAGTGGGGTGCAAAAGAAGGAGGCCAAGGATGACTCCAGGGGTTGCAGCCTGAGCCTAGGAAGATGAAGATGCTGTTAGAAGGGGAAGATTTTGGAAGGAGCTGCTTTGGGAAGAAGATCCAGTAAATCAGTTTAGGACATTTTAAGTTTGAGATGGCTACTAGACATCCAGATGGAGCTCTCCTAGGGTTATGGTCCAAACTGGAGGTTTACTTTTGAAAGTCTTTTAGTAAATATTGGAGTCCTGAGTTAAATGAGATCGCCACGGGTAGGAAGTGTGAAGGAGGGGGGGGGGCTCTGAGGGCCGACGCCGGGCTCTTCCAATCATTAGTTTTCTTTGGAGAATCCCAGGAACATTTCATTTTCACTGTGTTCTTGATGTTGTGTAATTCTCTCATGATGAGAAGTTTATCCCTGTAAATGCGTAAAATGTCACGCCTAGACAAATTTTATATTATGGTATATAAACTAAGAAATATTTGACTATGTAGTAAGATTAAGCCCATGGAGAAGAGTTTTATGAACGTGACTTTGCCAACGCTTTCTTTCAGCATCCATGAGTTTTGGGCCACATGTCAAGATTATCCGTATGTTATGGCAGATAGTTTATTGGACGCTTTAACGAAAGGAGGGCATTCTAGAACCCTACAAGAGTTGGAGACGGTAAGAGCTCTGCTAAAGAAACAGGCTGATTTATTACTGGCTGTCAGACGTTAGTCAATCCGTGTTACGAAACCATGGGATTAAACGCATGGCAGCTGAACTCCGTTCCCCTGCAAAGACAGCCCAACTTGGGTAGAGGCCATGGCTGGAGGACAATGAATAGAAACAAGTAACTCAGCCAGGATCTGTGAGGCCAGAGGATTATCATTACTTCCTCAGCTTGGGAATATAGTAGGATTCAAAAAGGGAGTTTACAGCTCAGAAGTCAGCAAGAGCTGTGTACCCTAACAAAAAAGAAAAAAGTCTTACTTACTAGCTTGAAACTAAGTTCCTAAAATTAATGGAATGTCTTTTTTTAATTATTATTATGCAGCAGTAGCACAATGATAGGAGCTTAAGGGAAAAAACAAAAAGCTTCCTCTCTTTTTGCTGTCTTCTGTTAATACCTGGAAACTGGCTGTAGTTAAGCTGAAGATAGTTCGTAACAGGGAATAATTCAGTCTTGGCTCAAAGATTAGAACCAGAAAATGTTCCTGCGGATGTCAAGGAGAGTTTGATAGCCAGAGTGCCCTCGTCACTGTAGTTAGAAGAACCCGGTATCTCTTGGAGGTCATAACTTTTAATGGTGGCTGTAGTATCTTATGTCCTTTGCTCACAGCTACACATACGGTTGCTGTTCCTTGGGTGACCTGTTGGCAAAGCTGAAGTCAGGACCTAAGATTCAGTGATAACTGACCTAAAGTATGTTAAATTGTACATCAGTTCAAAAATATATCCTTCCCACCAATCTGAGTTAATTGTCTTTAACCAAAACTGAATATCCTTCATTTGGTTAATATGGCAGTATATTTCAAAATGTAAAGTTTCTCTGCCCTTTGATCAAGCATTTCCTGTTCTCAGAATTTATCCTAGAGAATAAGAATAGGAGTTATAGATAAGGATATCATGGTAACGTGGTTTATAATTTTAAGAAATTGGGAATTGGTTAAATAAATCACAGTACACCTTTCAAAAAAAGCCAACGGATCATTATTGCTTGATGTTCATGATACATTTGTCTGTTGTTTATTATCTCCATTATCTCTGAGGAGTGGGATTATGGGAGACTTTCACATTCTCTGTAGTATTGAATATTTTATAATCATCCTCTGTTATCAGAGAACATTGCCTCTGTTAATGCAGAGCAGTCCCTAGAGTTCCTTCCTTCCTGTCTTCTTATGAGATTCACTTGTCATTGAAAACAGACTCCATTTATGTAGGTATTTATCAGATACCTTCTAAAAATGTGTAAAAGTTTTTCATCATGCATAGAAATATCGGTCTTGAAGTCACCAGTAAAAATAGGTACCCCTGACTCAAAATACTCTCAAAATGCCAGTAATTGTATTTAACTCATTTTCTAATAATTTATATTCTTATTCCTTTTCTCTTACCGTGAAACTTGGTATTTTCCTATTTTCTTTTCGTATGTTTTAATAGGGAGTTGTTTCTCTTTATCCTTCTAGTCATCAGCTGAAGGTGAAGGCCATACCAGGACATTTGACACAACAAAAGACATGGAGGTAATTGTATTTTATTCTTTATAAGAAATGTAAATGGAAAATAAGTCATAAAAGAAAAATATTTATTGAGTACCTCCTGAGATAAAAGAAACTTGTTTTTGTTCATGGGGATCTCAGTAGCAGCTACTGCAGTAGACAGGCCTGGAAGTCAGGGAATCATGAGTGTAATGTACATGCTGTGGAAATAGGTTGAAGAAACACCGGAAGTTACATAGATTCTTCACAGAGGAGATGCCCTATGGACCGTGTCTTGAAGGAGGAGTAGGCATTATCCAAGCAGGTAGGCCCAGGCATCTCAAGTGGCAGAACTGCGTGTCGTGACAGTGCATCTGAGAGAGCAGGGCATGCAGAGAGCTCAGGCAGTGGGTGGCCAAGGGCTGCCTTGGGAGAGGAGGAAGGAAAGGTGATGAGGACCAAATGATGAAGTGTCTGTTTGCTGTGCTAAGAAGTTAAGATTTTGTCCTAGAAGATAGGATGCTGTGATACACTGTGGAGGAGAGAGACTGGAGGAAGGAGAACCAGTGAGAAGCTGTGGGACTTGTCTAAGCACAAAAATGAGTAGCATGACAGTGTAAAGGAAGAGAAGAGGAGTTGGGAACTACAGTAGACCTTCCATTGATAGGACCTGGTACGTGGGGGTACTAATAGTATCATGAGCTTACGTAGGGGGTACGGGAGAAAGAGCACACCTTGGTAGGGAAACAAAGCACATTCCGTTTCAGATGTGCCAAGTGATTTGTGAAGTATCTCCAGGACCTGGGTTGTGGGCATGGACCTGGAAGTTGTCAACTTAAAAGTGGAATTTTTTTTTAGCCGTTAGCACAGAGACTGCCGGGGAGAACATGTAGACTGAGAAAAGGTCGAAAGGACGGACTTTGGGGGAGACCAGTAGCTTGGTTTGGAAAACCTTGAGAGAACGACACCCAGGAGGAGAGACAGTTCAGCAGGGTCAGATGCTGCACAGAAACCCAGTTGGAAGAAGACCAGCAAGTGTCATTTCAGGGAGCTAAATGAATGGAGGAAAACTGGGTGAAAGAGACATTGAAGGTTAGAGAGACTTAAGCACTTTAACTGAGGGGAAAGAGAAATTGGAGATAAGAGATCAAGTAAATACAGATGCAGATGGTAAAGGAATTTAGGTACCACACTGTTTTCAAAGAAAGAGGCAACAAGCAAGGTCATGTGCTTAGTGAGGAGGCAAGAGTGAAAGAACATTTGAGAATAGGAAAGGAAGTTGGGTAAGAAGTAAAAAGACCGTAGAGTAGGGTTGAGGGCCCAGCTGAAATGGCAAACCATAAATATATACTGGAGCCAAGGTGTACATTATACAACTTTTCCTCACTGTATACTTGTAGCCCATATGTAGGTAAGAAATCAGGGGTTCAGATTGATTCCACTTGGAGAGCAATACCATAGTGTATACATTGGAGCCATTAATTTTGCGTTAATTATCTGGGTTCATCTATTTCTAAAAAGCAGTGTTGTGGTTATGCAAGCTGAGTCCTGTGGTTCCAAAAAGAAAACTCCACCCTTTTTAGGATTGTGTTTCTCCCATGCAACACTGACAGCCTAGCTTTGGGGCCTGGAGGCTATCCAGGAGGCATCTTATGGTAAAGATCTACTATAGGAAAGCGAATGTGTGGGCTCGGATGTATGCCTTTGTAGCCTCAGAAACACGAGGCATGGTCAGAATTGCCAAAAGCTCTTTACAATTCAGGCCGCAGCAACAAGGCTCTTGTTGATCTTTCTCTTAGAATGGTTGCCATATAAACCAAAGGATGCAAATTCCATACAGCACATCATTACATCACAGAGAAGTGGGAATTTATGGAGGGACCCTTTTTTGCCAGGATTTAAAATAGCATTTTAAAAGGGTATTCTGGGTTGACATCTTTCTGTAGGCATCAAAATTATGACTCCAGAGTAAATAGGTGGATTAACTTTGCCTGGAAACACAAGCCATCTTACTAATTTCTAGTTAGGAGTGTCATGGCTTTGCAAGTTCAAATAATTTTTTTTTTTTTTCAACGCAGGTTACAGAAATAGAGCCGGCAGGGCGTTTGGACTGCAATAACCAGGACAGACTCACGGCACTGAGAGCGGTCACGAACTTTGGTGTGCCCCTTGATGTTTTTGACTCCGAAGGTGAGAGTGCTCCAGAGGGTTTGATGGAAACGCCACCCAACACGGGTAGTCAAGACTTAATGTCACATTAGTACAGATTAACGTAGCCATTCATTACAGCAAAATCTTGGTCAGTGGTGAAGTGAATAGTAAAGCACGCCTGTGGTAGTTATTTCATTCGAGGGGGAGTTCTCCTTCCAGAAGGAGCCCTGATGGCACAACATCACACGCTCGGCTGCTAATGAAAAGGTTGGCAGTTCAAACCCACCCGGCTACCCCGTGGGAGGAAGACCTGGTGATCTCCCTTAAAGATTACAGCCGGGAAACCCTACGGGGCAGTTCTGCTCTGTCAACATGGGGTTGCTGTGAGTCAGAATCAACTTGAGCGCCCCTGGCAACAGGTCCTTTGAGGCGACAAGAACTATCAGAAAATAGCAAAGCCCCAGAGAAGAGGACTCAGTGTATTGTGCAGGTTCAAACACAAGTATGGCCACGTTTTCCTTAGCGTGTTCTTTTTCTCACCACACAGAAGCTGAAGTGTTCCAGAGGAAACTCGAGGAGACCACAAAATTGCTTCGGGAGCTCCAGGAAGCCCAGAACGAGCGTCTGAGCGCGAAACCCCCTCCCAACAGGATCTGTCTCTTGGGTCCCTCCTACAGAGAAATGCGTCTCGGTATGTGGCACCTTCCATACGAGGAGGGTCAGGGGTCCCTAAAGGAAAAACCTTTGGGTAGTGGTAACACTGAAGTAAGTAACATGGATAGTGGAGTTTTTGCATTGATACATTTTCCATTCTTTTGATTTTTAAAAAAAATTAAAAGAATCATTTCAGTACCTAGACTGTTTTTATTTTGATGTTTTTTCTTTTTAGCCGAACAGGTGACCAATAATCTTAAAGGACTTGCACAGCAAGTTACTCCCGGTGATATTGTCAGCATGTGCGGAGTTCGAAAAGCAATGGGGATTTCCATTCCTTCCCCCAGCGTAGAAAACAACTTTGTAGATTTAACAGAAGGTATGTGTCCTATATTTCTGGGAGTGGAACACTATTGTGAGTAGAAGGAACATCAGTCCTCTCCCTTCAGAAAGCAGTGGAAAGGTTTCATCTTGGTGTGCTTTTAATGTATTAACTACTTTGCGTTGTCTTTCTATCTTGTTTAAAGAATTAATAGAGTTAACCTTTGTAATAACAACTGCAGTGATAACCATACTCAGTGTTAAGGGCTTGGTTAACACTTACTCTTCTGGATGCTAGGTGTAACTTCACTTCCCTTTTTTAATTAAAACAAAATGTTAAATAAAGTGGAAGTCAGTCAGCATGTCATTTTCTTTCAGATTTCGAAGACTCTAACAAGACTGATGTTCCTGACTGTGGGCCTGATGGAATTTGAAGCAAACTGGATTTGATTTATAGATAATGTACATTTTTTTTTCATTCTTAACTTGGAAATGCTTTTCAGAGGATATTGAATATTTGTAAATTGTGTTTTTAATTAAACTTTGGAACAATTTTAATGTTCCAGAGATTGGACTTCTGTTAAGTAATAAAGCTGAACCTGGGACGCTGAGTTACATTGTGCATTTCAGCTAAGTTAGCCCTGTGACCTTTCCTGGGGCTGAATCTGAGGCTATAGTGATAAAATTGAGAGAAGCTAAAAAAAAACCCACCTTTTTCGTAACCATTAATTAAAAGAAAGAAGTCCCCCAAATGATTGAAATCCCACATTTGCTACACTGCTTAGAGAATTATAACCTAAGTGAATAGATCTCGTGTTGATGATTCATTCCAGTAACAGCCCTTGTGAGGAGGGGTTCTGGCTTTGTGCTGTTGCTGTACATACCCAGCAGAAAGTGGGAGGAGACTTGGCCTGGGCCAAGTGCTTTCAGAGTAGTGCTTATCCTTAGGTTTCACTGGATCGTAACTAAAAAACTTTTTTTTTAATGTCCTTATCCAGTGAGATTTTTCCATTGTCATACCTTGAAGAACAAAGTAACATACTTAAAATAATTTCAGAATTTACCATGGTTCAGCTGCCTAAGTACCTAATGGGATTGATGTCCTTGTGTAGGAGGATTAGGTGGTCAAAAAAAACCCGAAGTTTCATAGCATTAACTTGTCTTTTTTTTTTTTCCTTTCTTGAGAGGGTTGTTTGAAACTATAGCAAAGGGATAAGCCAAATAAAACATCCTTGAATAGGTTCAATTACTGAGCTTAAAGGAACACTTATGTTTCAATATACTGTTAACGTTTCTCAAAGGTCACCTGTGTCTCAGCCATGCCCACTGAAGCAATCCTGATCTACTGTTATCTGAAATACAAAGGTCAAGTGCCCAAGCAGTTTAATTATTTAAGTAGGAGACCAGGACATGTGGTTCCTTTCTATAACCAGTAACTGGACTGCTGAGTCTGGTTCAGTATATAACCTGTTGAGTCTGAAATAAAAAGGATAAAAAATCAAGATGTATATAGTCTAGATTGGTAAACAAATACAGTAACAGACCTGCTAGGGTTGTGCAGAGCCTCCCTATGAAACACCGAAGGGTTTGTCTCTTAATGTGACTGTTTTGAATTTGAAAATTAACATTTAGCAAGAACAAATGGAGTGAAGGAAAACTGATTCTCTCAAGAGAGTTAAAGATGACCTAATAATCTTTTTAAAAACCTATGCCAAAAGAATTTTAAAAATCAGTTAAACTACATTTATCATTTAGAGTCTAGTTTTAATCTCTAAAATATAATTCATGCAGTAATAGATTCTTAAACTTTAGATCTACTTAGCTAAGGTTAAGTTCCTGAAGACTAGTAAAAACATGACCATTCAAAACACTTTAGGGCATTCTGGTTTTCCACATTGCTAATTTGGCAGGTGAACCGGCAGGCCTCCCACTGGAAGGCTGTGGAGGCTGATGAATCCCAAGATTGGTAGGTTAGCTGCTAGCTCAAGTCCCGAGAACTGGTGGTCAGAGGAGCTGGATGCAGAATCCAGAGCAAGAAGCCTTGCTGGAACATTCATTTATATACTGGAGACAAGCCCACATCCCCAAGGAAAATCTCTTTCAACTGAATGGCTGTTCACAGCAGTTCTTATCATGGAGTTGATGACATCATTACATAACCGCCAAACTACATCATTACATAACTCCCAAATTACATCATTACATAACCGCCAAACTACATCATAAGGGCCAGACCAGGGAGAACCGTGGTCCAGCCAAGTGGACGCACGACCTTAACCGTCACGGAAGTATATTTACATTAGGGATGGATTAGCTTCCTTTAAAGCCAAGGAAGTAAAATGATAATGTATTATGGTTTGGAAATAAATGTATAACAAGGTGACTGAATACACCTCCTTTTAAAGTTGACATGGAAATGTCTAGAAAACGGACGGTTCTGTGCTCGCCATTGAAAAGTGTCTGGGGGAAGCCCCGCTGAGCCCCCTCTTCCGCAGTTTGGGCGGTGAAGAGGGAGCGTTGTGCTCACGGCTGACCCGGCACCGGTTTGGTCCCGAAGCCGCCGCGGCTCCCTCCTTGGGGCGGTGGGTCCCGCGGGAAGGGAAGCTTCTGCTCTCACCGTGGAAGCGGTGCCCAGGTCGGTTCCGCCCAGCGCCAGGCCGCTCCCACGCTCAGGGGCCTGGAGGGCGGAACCGGCTATTCGCGCGCCCTCTCGTGGCCGGCCGCTGAATAGCTGAAATTCAGTGTCAGGTGGATTCCAAGTCATGGATTGGGAAGTTGAAACAAGTGGAGCGCACGATCCCGTGCCTTGATGGGAACCGTGGAGACAACAAGCGCGAGCTCAATATTCAAAAGTCCCCTGGGTGTTAGAACGATATGGAGGGAGGAAGTAGGAGGAGACGGAGGGGCCCCGAGTTGGAGAAGGCTGGTCTTCCACTGACCTGGCCTCTGAGATCTCTCGGCTCCACACACCCACGTCGCCACCAGGGCAAGGTTAGTTATGGCTGAGCCTCCAGGAAATGTTCTAACTCCCGGTAGGGTTGCCCAGACCAGCCACAGCCTGCAGGGGATGCCCTAGGTGGGTAGGTCGTTGTTACTATTTGTGGTGGTGGTGCTAATCATGACCTTGAGTGAAGTTTCTTGGTTCACAGAGATTTACTGTACATGATCACAAGGGTACCCTGTACACATACGAACACCCAGGGCCCGGCCTCCTGCATTTCCATCTGGTGACTGCTCCTTGGATGAGGCTCTGGAAGTTTTCCAAGTCCCTGTCTGGTGGCTGGGACAGGTCTGTACCTACCTCAGTGTCTTGGGGAGGGCATCCATGGTCTGACTGAGCCACAGAGAATTTTTCTAAGTTTACTCGAGGGCCTGGCAACCTGAGCCTCTTGGAAACTTTTCTTAGTGCACCGAGGTGCCCAGAGACCACTCGTGCCGACAGGGCAGTGGGTCAGGGAATGAGATAAAAATGATGCTCTCATAACATGTTTACCAAATTGGCCCAGCCTTCATAAGGCCAGGTATTCACAGAGGAAATAAGTGGTTATTTTTTCTTCAATTACAGTACATGAAGGGAGAATAATTCACGCCTCAACCAAGTAAGTGGCTGCAATATGCGTAGACATGTAGCGAACGCAGGGTACAGAGATGAGTAAGAGATCAGAAGCTCTGACTCTGGCTTTTCTCACTTAATATTGGAAATCATAGCATTAGCAAATACGTAAACAAACTGTTTCCTGATCCTCCTTATACAGCTTGAAATTATTCTATAGTGAATATAACATTCTACCCCTAGGAGGTCTTAGCTTATGTTGTTAGGTACCATCAAGTCGGTTCCAACTCATAGCAACCCTGTGTACAACAGAACAAAACACTGCCCAGTCCTGCACCATCCTCACAATCATTGCTGTGTTTGAGCCCATTGTTGCAGCTACTGTGTCAGTCCATCTTGAGGTTCTTCCTCTTTTTCGATGACCCTCTACCAAGCATGATACCCTTCTCCAGGGACTCATCCCTCCTGATACTATGTCCAAAGTGTATGAGACGAAGTCTTGCCATCCTCCCTTCTAAGGAGTTTTCTGCCTGTATAGTACCTCCTCCAAGACAGATTTGTTCATTCTTCCAGCAGTCCATGCTATATTCAATATTCTTCGCCAACACCATAATTCAAAGGCATCAATTCTTCTTTGGTCTTCCTTATTCATTGTCCAGCTTTCGCACGCATATGAGGCAATTAAAAATATCATGGCTTGGGGCAGGCGCACCTTAGTCCTCAAAGTGACATCTTTGCTTTTCAATACTTTAAAGAAGTCTTTTGCAGCAGATTTGCCCGGTGCAACGCGTCCTTTGATTTCTGGACTGCTGCTTCTACGGGCATTGACTGTGGATCCAAATAAAATGAAATCCTTGACTACTTCAATCTTTTCTCCCTTTATCGTGATGTTGCATATTGGTCCAGTTGTGAGGATTTTTGTTTTCTTTATATTGAGGTGTAATCCATAGTGAAGGCTGAAGTCTTTGATCTTCAGCAGTAAGTGCTTCAAGTCCTCTTCATTTTCAGCAAGCAAGGTTGTGTCATCTGCATATCGCAGGTTATTTTAATGAGTCTTCTTCCAATCCTGATGTCTCGATCTTCTTCATATAGTCTGGCTTCTTGGAGTATTTGCTCAGCATACAGATTGAATAAGTATGGTGAAAGGATACAACTCTGATGCACACCTTTTCTGAGCTAGAGTGGCTTTCAAATCTTCCACGGGCTGATGATCTCCAAATTCTTAGTTAGAAAACTACTTACCTCAGAGTTGTATCCACAGCTGGGCACTGTTCTCCACACTTGCATGACTCCAAACATCCAAATTTAACAAGTCCAGAGGAAATGTTTTGGTGATTTTCCTAAGCTTGTTCTTCCGTGGTTTTCCACAGGATCGAGAATGGCTCTGGTTACCATGCTCTCACTGTAGCCAGAATTCTAGAAGCCACCTTTGATTCTCTGTTCCCCTCATACATACGTCTGATCCACCAGAAGTTCTTGGCAGCTCAGGTTCGAAAGTACACCTTAAGCCTGCCCACTCGTCCCACCTGCACCACCGCCATCATTCCTCACCCTGACCACTGCAGAAGCATCCTGAATAGTCCTCTGTATTTGCTGTGCTCAAGTTATCCTGGCCTGCAGTCAATTCCTGGGAAACCATCTTTCTCAAGCCCATTGAATAATAGAAGGAGAAGGACGTGTACTTGTATAGCTGCCCTTCCCCTTGAGCTGCATGCCCCTCAGAAACCAATGCTACTTTACATCTCTACACTCTCAAGCCTCAATTCTGATTCTCTCTTTGACTGTGTTGATTTGATAGTGTGCATACAAGTGTGCCGCAGGGTTAGGGTAAGGGTTAGGGTTAGGGTCAGGGTCAGGGTCCGGGTCCTGGTCAGGGTCAGGGTCAGGGTCAGGGGTTAGGGTCAGGGTCAGGGCTTAGGATCGGGGTTGGGTTCAGGGGTCAAGGGTCAGGGTTTAGGGTTAGGGTCAGGGTCAGGGTCAGGGTTAGGGGTTAGGGTCCGGGTCAGGGTCCGGGTTTGGGTTAGGGTTTGGGGTTCGGGTTAGGGGTCAGGGCTAGGGTTCGGGTTCGGGTCAGGGTTCGGGTTCGGGTCAGGGTGCGGGTTCGGGTCAGGGTTCGGGTTCGGGTCAGGGTGCGGGTCAGGGTGCGGGTCAGGGTCAGGGTGCGGGTCAGGGTCAGGGT